TAACATCTTCATTATACATAAATTTACCTAATTTTACTAGGAACCCTAATGATAAGTTAACAAAACTTTTAGTATAAAAGAAACCATTGATAAAAATTTGAAGAACATTTTCAAATTTCTCCAAATAACCCAAATGAAAATAGATTTAAGTTTATTTTGGTCAAATTATTTGCGTTCTCAACAATTTAAATCCAATCCAAAACTTAAAAAATCAATTCCAAATTTTAATTGGATTGAATTTGGTACAATAATTTTTAATCAAAATAATTCAAATCCAATCCAAAACCTAAGAAATCCAATCCAAATTTTAATTAGATTAAATTTGGTATAGTAATTCTTAATCTAAATAACACAAATCCAATTCAAATATAAGAAATCCAATCTAAAACCCAGTTTGGCACCCTATTTTGTAATCCCTGGATGATATAAATGGGCCCAATAATGATAAATGGGCCCAATATTGAAGAAAATAACAACAACGTGAAGATTGGAAATCAGCAATTTTCGCCTAGACCGTCTTTCTTCGCCGGGATCCTGCCGGCGACAAGAAAACAACGGTCCTCCGGCAAGTTAAGGCGAGACACCGACTTTTTTCTTCTTCTTTATCTTCGAGAATCGTCGGTTGGTTTGGGTGCTGCAGAGTTCCTCCCAATGCCGTTCAATTCTCTTCCTTGGGTCTCGTTTTTTCTTCTTCTACAGCATCAGATTGGGTGAGGGAATATTTTTAACATGATGCTGCAGATGAAGAAGAAACAAGGCCGAATTCGAATTAAAGCATGTCGAGAATTGAACGGCACCTGTTTCCTTCGTTCCCCATTTCAGAATGTTAGTGACACTCTCTACTCGGGTAATTTTTTTTTTTTTTTGGGTGATTGCTTCCTTATAGAATTTTGCAGCAAGTGCATTGCAATTGATCTTATGAACTGGTTCTTAGTTTTTAATTGAGCCGGGCACTTTTGCTGTATAAACTGAAGTTACAGAGCTCAGTGAGAATTTATTTAGGTCTAGGCTTAGTTGAGTGGCAACTAGCAAGTGTTGGTACCAGAGTAATAATCACTACTTGGGGAAGTCTAGGTTTAGTTGTGTGGGCAACTAGCAAGTGTTGGTTTATCATAGTAAATCTGCACCATAATATGTACCACGTGTTTAAAGAGTTCAAGCTTGTTGGCTCGTTGACCATCGTGGATACAGCTTGAGCATGTTCAAATTGAGAGGACCACTAGCTGACTGTTTGCTGCATACGAGTTTGCAGAAAGAAAAGGGCTCCATCATTAACTAGACAGGTTTTTACTTGCATTTCTTTGTGTTTTATTCAATCTGAATGTTTTTTCGCCATATACGCCGAAGTTTTGCTTATCTGTTTACTCATGTATCGGCTTGCTCTTGGAATTTCGTAGACCGTACAATAACCGAGCCTGGATTGGGAAAGGGTCATTACTTTGCAGCTGAAATCACCAACTTTTAAGACCAGGTCAGCCTAAGTGGACAACCAGTTCAACTGAAATTAAGGATTATAAAACTGAAGTTGAAAGAATTTTGGATTTTTTTTTTGTAGAGA